ACCATCCGGGAACTGCCTGGCGGTTGCCTTGTCCCATGTGGCTTTTCGGGTAGAAATAGGTTTTCAGAGGAACGTTTTCGAATCGATGTATAAGGTTTTTACAGTCATTAAATTTCGTTGTGTTGGTTAATATTGGATTTAACATTTTGGTCCTTCGAGCCGGATCGAGAGCTAGCCGGTTTACCGTTATTTTTAGTGGAGATTTTGGATGCCTTAGAGTTGGAAGGGTTGGAATTTGCAAGAGTGAAACTTGGCCGCGTGTGGAACATCGAAATTGAGCAAACAAACTCGCTTCGTTGGAAGTATGGAAACGCTGGAGAAGTTAAAAAAGGATAAGCGATTGCTTAAATCAAGTCTTACGAAATATTTGAACGTGTTAGCCGTGGAATTGTCGCTGGAAGCACCGAATAAAGAAAGAATCGTGGAAAGACTGAAGGACATCGAAAGACGACGAGACGCGTTGCTGGAATTATTGGAGAATCTTCAAACCTTGTACAAAGAAAGTAAAGAAATGATGAATGTAGCATCAATGGATCAAGAAGCCGACGACATAGTGGACCGTGTCGACAGCGAAACAAGAGGAGCTCGGTTGTTTTTAGCGAAAGGAGTGGACAAAGGGAGCGAAGGAATTACTGTTCAGAGCAAAGGCAGGAAATCGGATGACACGAGTGCGAAGGATAGTCACGTGGCCGACCCAAACAAACAACTCGAGCGGATTCGAATTCCTAAGTTTTCGGGCGACAAGATGAAATATTCTGCTTGGTGGGCAGCGTTCTCGAGTTGCGTTGATGAGACTTCGTTATCACCACAATTTAAAATATTGAGGCTGAAAGGTTGTTTGGAAGGTGAAGCAGCAGCTACGGTGAGAGGTTTAGGCTATTCGTCGGAGGCTTATAAAGCAGCAAAAGCGCGATTGAATCGAAAGTATGGAGGAAACCGGCGACAGGTTCAGGCGCATATTGATGAGTTGAGAAGGATGAAACCTTTGAATGCTGAGAACCCTCGAGAGTTGGAAAGATTTGCTGACCTAGTGGAAAGGACAGTGGTTACTTTAAAGGAAAATAAAAAACACACCTCAGATCTTGAAGGAGGAACTTTGTGTGCTATTGTGTTGGAAAAAATTCCCCAATCTTTGCTTAGCCAGTACTACAGATGGGTTAAAGAAAAGGGAAAGCTGGAGTCTTTTGAGGAATTGCGGGAGTGGGTCGCCGAAGAAGCAGAATACCAAATTCAAGCATCAGAGGTAAAGAATGGTGTTTTCAGTGCAAGTGGTAAGAATTTCAAATGGCCTCGGTTGTATTTCGGGACTGGAGATAAATGTGACCGCCCTTGCAAGGTGTGCAACCAGAAACACCCAATCTGGAAGTGCGAGGTGTTCAAAGGAATGGAAAATAAAAAGACGTGGGAGACAGCGAAGAAGCTAGGCCTTTGTTATCGTTGGTAAGGAAAAGAGCACCTGGGTGAGGGATGTCGTTGGAGTAAGGAGTGCGGTGTGGATGGGTGCAAGGAGCATCACCACCAGATACTTCGTGGAGGTAAAAGTCTGCCAGGTTCCATGGAGGGGAATACTGATTCTTGCAATGCATCTAATATCCATTGGAATGAGTCTATGACGTATGAAACAGTAAAGGAACACGAACAGCGAAGAATCGCCCTTCACACCGTCCCAGTTTTTCTGAAACATGGAGCCAAGCGTTTGCAAGTTAACTGCTTTTTAGATGAGGGTAGTGATACCACCTATGTAAACGAAGAAGTGGTGGAAGAGTTAGGTTTGGAAGGTCCAAAAGAGAGAGTTACTATTAAGGTTGCAAATGATCAGAAGGTTGATTTAATGTCAGCCACTATGGAGATTGGACTAGAGAGTTTGGATGGTCGAGTAGACACTGTGATTGTTGCGAAAACATCACACAGTATTTGTGGTGGCATGAAACCGACTAACTGGTTAGAGATAAGAGATCAGTGGAAACATTTGAAGAACATTCCCTTCCCTAAAGTAGGGAAGAGAAGCAAAATCGACATGCTTATTGGTTCAGATTATTACAATTTGCTATTTCCTATGAAGGAAGTTCGTGGAGGCGATGGTGAGCCAAGTGCAAGACTGTGTCCACTAGGGTGGACAGCTATTGGTACCATCGATGTGTGTGAACAACATGAGTCATGTAGCACAGGATTTCTTTACACCAATCGGATGCAGAAGTCAGACGGTAATGACGAGGAGCTTAACAATCTGATGAAACAATTTTGAAACCTTGAGGCTTTTGGCATTACCCCTCGAGTAGATCGACAGCTGACTCCAGATGACGGGCTAGCGGTCAACAAGGTCAACGAGTCCATGAGATTCATCGGAGAGAGATATGAGGTTGCTGTGCATTGGAAACAGGACAGACCACAATTGCAATCAAACCGACAGATGGCTGAAAAGCGCCTTCGCTCAGACGAAAAGAAGTTGATGCAGGATAAGAGCCTCGCTCATGCGTATCAATCAACGATTGATGACTACATCAGGAAGGGATACATCCGAGAAGTTCCTGAGATGGAGCCAAAACCAGCC